AATTATCTTAATTTATTCATATGACGGTGTGAAGTTATGGTCATTCAACGGGCTTGATTGCACGGGCAGATGGTGTAAATTTAGGTCCAAACAGTTGCATAAACTTCATAATAATATATGCGCCGATTTAATTTAGACACTTACATATGGATTTAATATATGACATCATATTTTAAAATAAATTTCGACACCAAAGCGACCAACACAAGCCAACGTTTGTGTTGGCAAACCTATTGGTTCAACTCGGGCTTGGCAGCAGCATTGGAGTTCTGGCGATGCGAAGGTTGTCGGTTTTGCTGAGGCTGCATGAACTGCTGCGGTTGCGTGTTCTGTTGAGTTTGGTTTGAGAGGTGGCCTTCTCCGCTGAGCTCTGCAGCGGCAAGCTTTAGTCGCTGGACTTCTCCGGTTAAGGCCTCATTTAAAGCTGCAGCATCAAAGACACAAATAAAAGGAAGATTATATTATTAGTCCATATCACATCTACATCAGCAGGAATTGATCGTAAGCTAAATACGATGGTATGTGGTCACACAAGGGTATTTAATAGTTCAAAAGTTGCATTTATAAACGTTTTCCGACTTGTGCGGCGACATTCATCACCTGATATTCATATAAATATTGACACAAAGGGGTTCGAGTGTTAATCAAGCTCTGCGGTAGGCAATTCAACTAATGGAAAATCATGAAGCTAAAATCTCACTACCACCCACCGAACTTTTTGAAACAGGAAAGGGGAGTGGACAAGGATCAATCGAGCTCAATCCCTTTCCCATCCAGGGGCCAGGGGCCAGGGCTGATTTCAATTTCACTGCATTATTTGGTCTTTCTATCAAGATATCGACTTTAGGTCAAAAGGGTTGTGTGAATACATATCCTGCATTCTGTTTTAAAATGATATCTATTTCAGTTAATATTTAAGTTGGTTACGCAAGTTCTGCATTTTTATCTACGAATACAAAGAATATCCCGATCTTACTGTTATCCTTTTACTTGATTGCTGAAACCAACTGAAAAGTTACTGGTTACAAGGTTTTCAGTAATTGGTAGAAATGAAATGAAAATCCATTGTCAAGGAAGTGGACCGTGGACTAACAAAGACATGAGAAAATAACGCTTATAGCTGGAAAAGGTTAAACCGTTAAAATTATGTGTAACAAGAACAAGAGTTTTTAATCAAATTGACCTAGAGGTGAAGCTTAATAGCATAATTATGTATGCATCTGGAACTTTAAACATTTGTTTCGGTAGACGAGTTTTCACTAAAAATCATATAGTTTATATGGCACGTATGATAACTGTGATTTTCAGTAGACATATAAAGAGGTGAAGATATAGCACAATACCATCTTTAAGTTTGGCCTGTTGTTCCAAAGATTGAAGCCGAAATTTCAACTCATTGTTCTCGCTTGTAAGACTCACAGAGTCTCTCTGGACACAAGTACAGATAATGCAGAGTCAGTGACCACTATACCATGAAGGTTAGTTTCAAAATGGTAAGAGGTAGACTTTAGAATCAGAACAACCAAAAAAAACCCTACCTGCAATGATGTGAATTGGGCAGACAAAGTGGTTGCCTCTGTCTGCAGAGTTTGCACCTTGTGTTCCAATTCTACTATATATCGCATCTTCCTCTCCTTGGAACGAGCAGCTGACTGACGGTTAGCCAAAATCCTGGATAAATTCATAAAACATGAGCTAATTCACTAAACAAGACATCCAGTACAAACAGATACAAGAGAGAAGCCAAATGCATAATACCTCTTTGCACGTTTGGGGTCTGATAGCGCTATCTCAGCAAGTTTCTCACTTTCCATTATCTTTTTCAGCTCAATTGCATTGAACTCACCACTTCCAAACTCCATGCTGAACTTGGCTGAGTTCCCATCAAGTGAAGTGCTGGGTGATTGTTGGCCTAGCGGTTTCAGTGGTTCATCATCAAAATTCAGATTTTCCATGTAACTATCCATTGAAATACTCCTGCAATGCCGAGCACTAGATACAACATCTCCGCTAGCGGTCCTCTTGAGTCCTTCTCTTCTCTCATTTGGAAAACCAGAACCTGGCCTCTGCACGCCTGCGCCGTTACGATTCCCATTTAGACCACTTTCCACTTCATTATCGCTACTCTCACCCCCATTTGTCTTCGAGGCACTGGCTCTGCTATCGATATCCTTGTCCTCATTACCCGACAAGTTCATTTGGTCAATGTTTTCCAAATTCATGTATGCATTAAACAAGTCATCCACGACCTCTCCCCCTGATTTCCTGTCGTCCACTCCCTCAGCATTCCCATTTGATCCCTGTTTCATCAACTGAATTGGCTTTGCAGAAGCCGATCCATCAAAACTTGTTCGGCGCCTAACAGGGATCAATTGCGGCGAAGGTTGATTGATAGCTGAGAATCCTAATGGAACATCACTGTTAGAGCGCCGGTGCCCCCTGCGAGGAGGAAGGCCATCTCCAGCCCGATATGCAGTGCTTTCATTAACCGGTGAACGAAGCGTAGGCCCATGAGAGTTAACAACACTCTCCCCCATAGAAACATCAACAGAATTCTGGTCAGACAGAGAAGGAGCGGAGGGCTCGCGGTACGTCAAAGGGCTCAATGGGGGCAAAGAATCAAGCGAGAAAAAGGGAGGTTGAGACATAGACCTAGTGTGGGATGACCCTGAGCTGAAATTCTGTTGACCCAGCTGCCAAGAACCCGATTGAGGCCTCGAAAAAGGCATCGAATTGTGATTATTAGGGTGCGAAGGAGGAATCCCAGGTCTCTTACTGCTCTCAGGACTCATACGGAAACCCATTTGGGAGGGGTTGAAATTGGGAATATCTAAATTGCTGTTTGGCTTAGGAATCAGGAAAGACGACGACCCAAATGTTGGATTAGGCCGCTGTTGCTTGGCACTACCAGTTTCATCACTGCCCTCCATTAAATCTCAGCTAAAAAGCTCTAAAAACCTCGAATCATCAAACGAAAAACCATCCAAGTTTCCTACTTTTTTATCAAACTGAATAAAAAACAAAAATTCTCTAAACCCAAAAACCCAGATCGCAAATCAAATCAAACCCCAAAGAGAATCTGAAAAAATGGGATCAAACAAGATTATGGTTGCAGAGTACCTGATCATAAAACCCTAGCAGCGGCTGCTGGCCAGATTTGGCTCTCAGTACAAGTGCAGAATGGATAATCAAATGTTAAAGGCGGTGATTTCAAAGAGTTTCGATCAGCTAAAAAATGTTAGTGTTGACTACAAATACAATGTTGCCACCGACAGCAAGGAAGCAGCACAGTAGGAAGAGTTCAGACAATCTTCACCAGACGCGCTTTTTTTTTTTTGTTTTTTTTTTAATCTTCTTTTTATCTGCCTCACCGGCTTCTTCTCCTTTAATTAAGGATATCAACAAAGATTTTTGTTTTATTTATGAATTAGACTTCACGAGTCATAACCAAACAAAACCACAGTGGGCCCACAATGGACCCCACTAATTAATTTATTGATTACTTGTCGAAATTTCCCTGATCTTGTAATTCACGGCCAATTTGCTCTTTAAAAATTCATTTTACTTAATTACCCCTTAAATTTTATTACATCTCAGCTTCCCTACTGTTAATGTTAAATATTATCGCAAGTGGTCATTTAGTACAGTGATGGAAAAATATTGTACCCTTACATGATGGCGTAGGATTCAAATCCCGTCAATGATTAATATAACATCTAACTCATTAACACTATAGCTCGACTAAAAGTAAATGTCGAATATCACCACAAAAAAATTAAAAAAAAATTATAATTAAAATAAATGAAACAACAAACCACCAACCTCCAATTTATCTATCTCGATTATCTAACCGATTCTAACCCCCTCTCCACCCACTCCCAACCTCGAACCACCAGCCATCCAAATTCCTTATCGAATTCAACCTCACCTTAAAATCAACTCCAACACCGTCACAACCCCGAGGGCTGGTTGCTCACCTTATTCTTTCCAAATTCCCAACCCAAGCCGCAAACCCAATTTCTCATAGCACACCCACCGCAACAGCTCCTCTCTCACTTAACCACCTGAGTCCAACATACCAGGTGATGTCAGGCTCAATGAACCCTCTGAAGGTGTGAACCACTTATATTTGAACCAACGTGTGACTCTTTTTTATGTCCTCTAGCTTGTATCAAGCCAATTTTACACACAGTTTGATAATATACGTATCAACAAGAGAACTTTCTTCTTCGCATACGTTGGAAATATAAAGTTGATAGAAAAAGTGGTTTGCTAACGCGCACATTTTTTTTCCTCACGTCTAAACGGTTGAGATTTAACAGCTTTTTCTGAGAAGAAAAATGTGCTGGAGAGAATTATCACGAAGTAAAAGTGGTGTACAGCATTGCACTTTTTGGGCCTGATGTAGTATTCTAGGCCCACTTATTGACTGAATGATATTGCTATCTTGATACCTAATCATTATATGGAGGGTGGGTTCACTCAAGCCCCTAGGCCTCAAAACAATCTAATTACATCACAAAGCCCACTACTCAAAACACCTTAAATCGCAGCCGTCCGATCAAAACCCCCCAAACCCAAAACACCTTCCGAAATCTTTTATAAACGGTTCGACGCGCTGCCTTTTCAGTCGAACTGTAAAACCCTAGCCGTCTTTTCTTCCTCTTCCTCAATCTCAAACTTTCCCTCTTTCGATTTTTTCTATGTTTTTCGGAGCTTACTTACTGTCGGCGTTCGATGTTCCATAAATATTTTCTCTCTTGTTTGTTTTCCAATTTGTGTTTGTTGGAGAAATCCGCGAGGCCAGTTGATGAAATCTTTTTCAGCGGTTGAATGCTCGGATTTCGATTCGGGCATGGTGATACATTCTTAATTGAATAGGAAGATCTGATGCCTCTTATCTCTTCTTCTTCCCTTTTCTTTATTTTTCTATTTTTCAAAGGTTTTTAAGAAATATGAAACATGTTTTTTTTTTCAAAACGTTGTTGGTCGAATGTTTGGCCGGTGATGACTATGTTATATCGACAGAATCGCAGATTATAATTTGCGTAATGTGTTGATAGAAATTATCATGAACTAGGACGGTCTGAAGGCTCTGTATATTTTTTTAAATTTTTTTGGTTTTGTTTGATTTAATTGCTGTGGATGATGAGATCACAATATTAACAGTTATCCCTGTCTGACTTATGGATGCTGAAAACATGTTATCTGACACAGCTTAGCCAAAATTTCTATTATTCTCTTGAGAAGAACAATGGACGGCTGGGATTGAAAGAACCCCAATGATTTTTATTTCTCGCTGGAGAAGAATTATGGACGGCTGCGATTGAAAGAACCCCAATGAGTTATAGCAGTACATGATTCTTCGCCGTTGGATCCTTGATTGTTAATGTTAAATTTTTTTAATCCACGTATAATACTGGTTCATTTTTCCGGTGCATGGCATACACCTGAAATCCAATGTAATATCGAATTAACCATAGAATATAATTTCATAACACGAAAAAATAATCGGTAAGAAAAGAAGCTTGAACTGATTTGCGCTAAACCAATAGCAAACACATGTTATTAAACGATTGGTTTAGTTTTCCAAAACTGAGAGTGCTAAAATCGCTACAAGCTCGTAAAAGTTGGAAGTGGAAATGATTGAACTAAGAAGGACATGCACAGATTAAAGCTTGAAATGATTCAACTGAGATGTATCAACAAACGATGCCAGATACACGGATAAGATGTGGCAATTAGGGTTTATTAATACAATACAAACCCGTTTATTACAGGGGATGATCGGAGTCGGAGTCCTCGGTGCCAAGACTGGTTCGAAATGGCCCTCCTTCTTCCTCGCGTGACCAGACTGGCCTTCGCTTTCCAGAAAATCTTACTACATTATCAACCTACTCTTTTTTCAAAGGCCACATTGCTCGAGTAGATGCCTACATTCCCAAATCATACTATTTCCAACTGTCTATTATTGGATCATTATTTCGTCCCGCCATCGAGCTGAAAATAAAATTCATACATGATCACTAGGTTCCCTTCTCCTACCTGACTCTGACTGCGCTCTACCCAATTTTTATCTACTTGATCGTGATGTAGCGATTTGTTCCATGCTTGGCCCAGTGGTCCTTGAGATCAACTGGGTTTGACAGATCATGGCCTTCGGCTGCAAGGCGGCTAAGTAGCTTGTTGAAGGCGCTCCCACTCATCTTCCTCCCACCTACACGGGCATGTCTTTTGTTGGGCACTGCCGGCAATGGGTACATCGACATTGTAGTTGTGCAACATGAGGATTGCCAACCCCCATTCCCCCACTTGTAGCATTGCCTGAGGAGACCAGTGCACGAGCACATGGGTGCCGGCATGGTTGACTCATCAAACGCAACCTGGTTCAACCCCAGGTCCTGACATTTCCAATCAGACTTTGACACAACCACCTGCTTGTTAAGATCGTCACCTCCACTGCCCATATCCTGGCCACCCTTCCAGTCATGTAATTTATCAAATGTCATCTTATTTAAGTCTTCGCTCTCCCTCTTCACTTTCCTTGGAGATTTTGAAGGTTTCTTATTTGGTTGCACCGTCTTGGGCTCCCTCGGTCGTTTGGGCTGCCGCGACTTTGTAGGCACTGAAGCATCCGGTGGCATTGTGATGGAATCGCTTGTGTGCATATCCCTCGAACCATAAGAAGGTTCATTCATGTGCGGCATATGATGTACATGCTGCTGCTGCTGCTGCGTGTGGTGCACATGTTTGACCCCGCGGGAAATTTGGCAACCTGGTGGGCATGAAGATACATTGCCACTGTTTAAGGAGTTATCCCGGTACTGAAGAGTTGCAATGGCGCTGTCTCGTTCCATTATCGCACTATTTCGTTCTGCAATTGCTGCGTCTCGTTGCAGGAACGCCATGTCACGCTCTGCCAGGGCAGCCTTTTTCTCAGAAAAAGCCAAATTTCTTTCTTGAATAGCTGCATCTCTTTCGCCCATTATAGCCATTATCTGTTTCATTGATGGCTGATTGTGCATCAACCACTAAACAAAAAACGAGTCAAAATATCATCAGATAAGCATTGAATATGTATACAACGCATACCTCATGCAATAGTTTAGACGTGCCAATTCACATAATATTCAATTTAAGTAGCTGTATCCAGAAAATTGCTTCCACATACCTGACCCTGAGCTGCTTTATACTGATCTGCTTTGTGCCTTCCATTTTCGCGATGGCCACCGTCATCCATCTTGAGATTAGTAAATAGCAACAGCTACAGATGCTAGTTTTACACCTCCGCTGCAAGTATAAACACTATGCTAGCAAACCATCAAACTCCCATTGAGGCTACATATCCTGCAGTGGATGCCCATTAAGATAAATGTTCACATTTCGTTTATAGATTGCAGAACCCTAAACGCGATTCCTTACAACGTAAGTCAGAACAATCTAAGAGAACCCTAAATGCAATTCCTTACATATAAATCCGGGAACTTCATTGGTAGTCATGAATCCACAATAAAAAAAAGGACTAAACCCAGTGTGGCAGACATGGAATTCAATTGATTTCATCTCTATTTTTGGAAACATTATGCAATTTACAGAGCATACCAATCAAAACGCACACAACTCCTTACGATTTTTCACAGATTGTACTAAAACTAGCCAAGACAGAGCAGCTAAAATCAGACTTCTTCCCGATTCTTAAGCATCCAATCAAATTTTAAACCAGGCTAAGATCAAACATTCAAATTCTTACGAATAGTAGCTTCAAAGTTCCAAGAACCAGTTCCTAACTTCCTAAAGCAGCACAAGCGAAGCAAAACCCTAGAAACCCCAAAATCTCCAATCCAATCACAAAAGCAAGCATCATTTCCAGAACCAAAACACAATCGTAATCGAAATTATCAAACAAAAACCAACTAATTCCAAACTAATTCGAAGCTGCTCTGAAGAGCACCGCCTAAAACCAAGCTCCAAGTATAAACTGATAAAAAAGAGACCAAAGATATAATCTGCAGAAATGAAAAGAAATCGCCATGGAAGAAGAGGTGGAAGGGAATCGGAGCTTACCGGAGAGAGAGTGGGGGACTTCAGTAAAACCCTGAATATTGAGGAAGAAGATGAGAGGGAGGGGAAGGGGAATAGTCCAGGAAGAAGAAGAAGGAGAATTTTTCACTTTTTGTTTTGTTTGGGTGCTTTCTATCATCAGACTCTTTGAGAGGAGAGAGACGAAGACAGGATAAGTAGGACGTAGACTTCTGTACTGTACTCGAGTCTAGTGGTTTTTAACTGTCTATCTTACATTTTTTTTTTCTTCTACTGTTTTTCCTCCTTTTTTTTTAGCCATCTTGCTGATTTTGATAAGAATCGAACTTTTCACATACAAATGTAGATAAATATTACTATACTAAGTACTAAGTGGCTACTATCCTGCTGTTAAAATAAATAAAAACCAAGTTCTAATAAAAGAGATGGTAGAAATAGTTTGTTGTTTTAAGTAGTTAAAAGCGTTTGCTTTTGTTTTTAAATTTTGCGTTTGAATTCTCTCCAATATCGCTAATCATAAACAAAATTATTGACCTGAGTAACATACATTTTTACTTATTACTGACCAACAAAACTTTTGTCATCATTTTCTTAAATTATCACACTCTCAATACAAAATTGCTTTGGAGGCAATAGACAATCTCAGTTGTTTGTCATGGTGATAGGAGTGTGTGGCGGTCAACTCGAGACCCCCTCACACCTCAACCCATACCCCTGGCTGCCTACGTTGGTCAGTGCCGCCTACGGGTCGCCTGAAAATGAATATTGATGGTTTATGGAGCTCTAATCGAAAATTTGGAGGGGTGGGTTTTATTGTGAGAAATGCAGTTGGTGATTTTGTTGTAGCGGCCTATGGGAGCTTCAGAGGTGTTTTGGTGGTGGCTAGGGGTTTTCAACTACTTTTGCATCGAGTGATTTGCTTCATGTTATTGTTGCATTGAATGATTATTTGACCAATTATTCTCCGATTGATAAAATGTGGAGGATACAAAAGATTTGTTTTCTATGATCACTGAGGTTAGCTGTACCTATATCCGCTGCCAAACTAGCAGCTTCGCCCACCGCCTTGCCTGTTATGACCTCACGGTCGAGCTTCCTTGTGCTTGGTTGGATTCTACATTGAATTGCATAGTAGATTTACTGTTTGACCATTGTTATTAATTCAACTTGAGTCTTTTTTTACCACTGTTTTATACTCTTTGTTGGTTGAATGCAATACTCTCATTTTCATAAAAAAATTGTGGCTTGACCTAGAAATTCAACCAAGTTTAGTTGTTATCTTGGGCTCGTGTTGTGGGTAGAGAAGTATGACATGACCAACGAAAAAAAATGCTTGAGTGTAACCACGTGTGTAATATTATGATCTATGACATCTACTAACATTTGGTCGAACTTGACAAAGGAGTACAGTATTTATGGTCTTGTGAACATGATTCATGAAGATGTCAGCCTCTTGTCACATGCTTTGAGGTTGTTTTGCAGTAGTTGGGCTTGAGCCCAAAAAGTAAAGTAGGTTATCGCAACGCAGCGGTTGGCTTGGGATTTAACGCCCAAACCCTACTTACTAAGTCACAACTGTCATGTGTTATCTCTAAGTAGAACACGCCATGCATAACGCAGTCTTAGAGTTTCTGCTAGAGCTCGTCTGTTGAAACAGTCGCCATGACAGAACCAATCGCTTACGCATCTCCCGAGGACGCCGTGAAGACGGAGAAGAAGAAGAAGAATCGCAAGAGAAAGAGAGGAAGCCAAGCCATCGGAATCGAATACAACTGGCACGGAAGAATCAGAGTCTCAAATCCCTAATCAGACCGACAAAGAAGATAAAGGAGAAGGTGATTGGGAACAAGATAAGGATGAAATTAATAAGAGACATCGATTAAGACCTCAGGTACAGGGATCCAGCTGACTCTAACAAGAGAAGACGATTTCCGCACGCCATTCTTTATGCAGTGATTTTTTTTTTCTTTCTTGATTAATCTTTCGATTTAACCTAATATTTGAATCTGACACTGACAAGATATATATAGGTCACAGTAGACTATTGTAATGTGGCTAGTTCGCAAAGAATAGCTCTCCTATATTCTTTTATGGGGAAGCATCAGTATACGAAAGGGATAGTCTTCTTCAGTTCTTGTGACTCAGTCAAATTCCACTCTGACCTTCTTCGATCCCTTAATGCGAATTGCTTTGGTGTCCATGAAAAGCAAACGCAGCAGGAGAGGACAACTACTTTTTTTGACTTCTGCAAAGCAGAGAAAGGGTTCTTACTTTGTACTAACGTTGCTGCATGTGGACTGGATATTCCTGCAGTGGTACTTTCTTTTTCTTCATGCAATTCGCGGCTACATTCATGAATATTTTGGTTTCTCATTAGTTTTGTTGTTCGATGATATTGTAGATGACAATGGCAACGTTCTTACAAAAAACTTTTCTTTTGTAACACTAAGCGAATGCTTGTGTTAACTTATGCTTCTTTCTCCTTTTCTTTGTAGGACTGGATTTTGCAGTTTGATCCTCCAGATGACCTCATGGTGTCTAATTCCTTCTTTACTAGCACATTTCAACTAATTTTCGTATCCAGTTGTCTCATCGGATATCTGCTTGCAGGAATACCTACGCGGTGTTGTTCGAAGAGCTCGAGGGGAATGCGAAGTAGGAAAGGAATTCCTTTTCCTCATTCCTGAAGAGATGCGAATTATACGCTTTTTGGAGGTATGATTGCCATGCTTCCCGGATTAGAAGCATGGAATATTGTCTTGTCAATAACTTTTATCATCGCTTTGAATTCCATATTTCATTGTGTTTTCAGGCCGCCAATATCTTCCTTCGATCTCGGGTATTTAAGGTGAATAGAAAAGTGCAGGCTCAACTGGTAATTTCCTGTTTGTTAATGTAGTTCAGATATTGTTATCTATTTTTAAATTCCGAATTAAGGAACCTTAATTTTATGTATTGGTTTGATTGATATGCAGGAGAAGACGGTTGGGGACAACTACCACCTGCGCAAATCAGCAAAAGAAGCGTATGAATCGTATCTAATAGCATATAATTCACACTCCATGAAGGACTATTTTAATTTCGACCGGCTCGATTTGCAGGTACGTACACATCTTCTTCATGATCCATGTCATGTGTAAGCATCGCAGTTTGGTACTTCACATATTTTGTTTCCCAACTATTGCAGGGCGTTGCAGCTTCGTTTTGCGTTTCGATACGCACACGCCAGAGGTGAATTTCAAGTTAGACGGTAGTGCATTAGAGTTGAGGAAGAAATGCTCAAAAGTAGAAGGGAAATTGAAATGGATTCGATGAGACTCAACATATACATCTCTATCAAATATTCTTCAAATAACTATTTTAGCTTTCCTCCAGAACTTACAAATATTTTTATCATATATCAAATTTAATTTTCATTTATTCTTTGTGACTATGACCCATATGGTTGAAGTTAGGATGATTAGTACAGCAGTCATCCAAACAATCCAAACAATAAATGAATGAAGAAGGCGATCATGTTATTTGGCTGTTGTAAGGAAGAAAACTATGCCTAACGTATAAAAATGAGTAATGCTAGGAAGACCAAATGTTTACAATAAATTCTGTAAACCAAATGACGTAGTTGTTAATTGAATTATAAGTGTTGATTATGTGTTTATTTTCTATTAGTGAGCATTCTCCAACGTTTAAGTGGAGTAGTAGAACTCAATATTAGTTGAGTGGAGATATTGGAGAATATTAAAAATTTGGGCTACATCAAGCATAGGTAAGTTGTATTCCACATGCTGGAATACAAAAGTTTATGCAACACTTTGCACGAAGAGGTTTAGCAATGGTTATCCTAACGTTGATTGTAGTATCAGTTATCAGTTTTATCATTGACAGTGGCTTATCTTTAGAGTTTTCTTAACATTTGTTGTTTGCAGATGTTGCAAAATGCTCCAGATAATCCGGAACTGAAGTGTCGTAATTTGAATATGATTTGTTGCTCAAACTCATTGTAACTTGATGTTTCTCTATTATTAAAAAAAAAAATACAAAAATGAATTATAATATGTAAACAGAAATATATACAAAGAACTTATAATATGAATAATATATGAAGAAAATTTCATAAACTATAAGGGTGTGTTTGTTTCACATTCTTAAGTGTGATTGGACTGGCTAGGATTATTGTTCTATGTTTGGTATGCTTGGGGACTAACTTAAATGGGACTAGCCCGGACTCATGTCGACTCTGGGGCTCATTAGGTCGTCCAAATTAGTTTGGCGTTGAACCATGGGATTGCTAAGAACTCATTCCTCACAACGTTGTCTCATTCGCCGTTCCTTATCTCTCTATCTCTCCCTTTCCTTGCTCTTGCGTCTTGTCTTTGCTCTCGTTCTCTCACTGATGCTTGCGTCCTTTCCCTCTCACCTCGCCCCGAACCCAGATCACATCCTCTCCCTCTCTCTCCTCGTCCTGCAAGATGCCAAGCCAATCTGCACGACCCAACCCAGGTCACATCCTCTCCCTCTCTTTCCTTGTCATGCTCGAATCAAAGCGTCGTTGGGTATACAAGGAATGCAATTGCGATTTCGATTGAAATTGAGTTTCTAATTGTTTGTGTTTTGGAAGCTTTATTAATTCAAATGGAGGAGAAAGATGTGGTTGCAAGTAATGGAATTTGGACACAGATTTATCAATTGAAATGAAGGAAATGCAGTGAATGGAATCTATGAAGTTTGGATAGAAAAAAAGGAGAGGGAAGAGAGATTTCAGGCAAGAAAAAGAAATAGAAAAAGAAAAAAAGAATTATTTTTATTATTTTTATTATCCTATTTCTAATCCGATACTGTACTAAACGTTTCACTAAGTTAGTCCAGCTTAATCTAGTCCAACTTAGTCCCTGAAGCTAGTCCAGTCCGAGATAATCCGGTGCAACAAACGCAGCCTAAATGCATCCAATAACAAATCTGCATTATACCAATTAATTTGAGCAGTGCAACTTTTGCGGTCGGAAGAATGACAATAAGCAAAAAATTCCACAAACAAAACTCAAATATTTTAACTGTTTAGGTACATGTCCATCCTCACAAAATCTCAAGTTATCTGATATCTCAAACAGACGGGTAATGTGAAATGCAGAAAAGTCAGTCAGTACGAGCCTTCATCAAAATACTTAACTTACTAAGTATGAGTGCAGCAACTACAATGAGCAGGGCGCCTGCAAACCACTGTCAAACAAGCACTCTCGTTACGCAAATAACAAAAGCCAAGCAAGGTAAAGACACATTTTCTCAATGTTATCACAATGAACAATTATATTCACACATATAGAAATTGCGCCCAAGCAGTTGCATTTGTAGAGCTATGAAGAGTCTGAGCCAAAGAGAGAATATTTCATGAACAAAACTCCTCCATCCATCCATCACCGATTGTGTGAAAAAGGAATACTTGTTTCAGCCTCTTATTTATCGAAACCAATTTCTGAATGATATGATCTGTGAGCACATAGTTAGAGGCCTACTAATGAAGGTCCAACATTTCTCACCACTTTTCTAGTCCTAAGCACTTAATCCTAGGTCGCGTGTTTACTCCCGTGGTACGAGTATCAGAACCATCTTGATTCGTCCCAATGTTAACTAAAACACGGGTTTTAGAAATTTAGAATTATTCAAATTATCGACTTCCCCTTTCTTTGCTAATCCATACAAAATAAAACAAAAATGTGCAAGTCCATAATCTAATACTTGAGAACCATGAATCATATCAACTACGGTGGACTAATTGATCCCGTACTCATTCTTTTCTCCCTTACCCGAGCAATGACTTCCCTCGTTTCAAATAAGTAAACAATGTCGTGTATGACAACAGTGTCATCCAATCATTCGCCTCACACATTTGTATACAACGAACACATTACGCAAGAAACTTGGCAGAGTTAATAAATTTGAGCATTTTAATCACGAAATAAATGAATAAAATTGCATTCAATCAACACAAAGTGGAACAAAAAACTATGAATTTACCTTCTCGGATAAGGGTTCTTGAAACCAAAAGTATCCAGCCAGACCAGAAATGAGGAAGTTGGTAGCAAAGTTCGTCGCTGTAGCTTGCAGAGCCGAGATACCTTTTAAGCTTTGCACAAAACAACCCCACATTGCCACGATGAATAATACCACGAAACCGTACTTTACAATCTGTGAAAATCCCCAATAAGTATTCACCTCAATTATCAAATCAAGAGATTATAGGGTTTTTGAGATGTAAATCCAACGGTCTTAAATTCGTGAAATTGAAGATTGGAAAGGCACCTGAGGACCGATGATCTTCGCCGAAACGGCGGCGGAAGCGGCACAGAGTCCGGCTGAAACTGCCCACGCGTAGCCCTTCTTGCTAGCCTCCATCGAACCACCAAAGCTTTCAATTTTTCGGAGGAAGAAAACTAGGTCGAGAAGATTTAACCGTGTACGGAACGATGTCGTTTTCGTTTCCACGACTCGTTCGCAATTAGTCTCACAATAGAAACACAACTCGGCCGAGTTTTCCCTACTCACGACTCGTTCGCAATTACTCTCACAATAGAAACACAACTCGGCTCTTCCCAAATAATAAGGAAACACAACTCGTCCACCTGGCAATCCACCAGTCAGCAAATTAGCCAATCAGAGACAAAGCACGAGGATTAGGATTTCCTAAAGGAAACGGATCCTCTCTAAAGGAAACGATCCATTTCATCAATTCATCCGATTCTTAAATTCGAAATCTTGAAATTTGATCAAATAATTAAAATTATTATAATTCTTTAAAAAATTTCTTTTGTAGCGGTTGAATTAAATTTTAATAATTCAAATTCCATTTCAAGATTGGATAGATTTAGTAGAAGGAAGCTTTCCATTCCTAAAAATTTAACGTTCCCCTCCGAATGTCGTTAAAACTTGCAAGCCACGTATCGACTGCCACTCCCTCTATAAATAACCGCTCTTTCATTCCCTCCATGCATCTCATTCCCAACTTCTCAATTACCTGACAAAGTGTGAAGATCAAAACCCTAGTTCCCAATAAGTATTCACCTCAATTATCAAATCAAGATATGACAAAATATATATATATATATATATATATATATCAAATCAAGAGATTATAGGGTTTTCGAGATGTAAAGCCAACGGTCTTAAATTCGTGAAATTGAAGATTGGAAAGGCACCTGAGAACTGATAGCTTCGCCGAAACGGCGGCGGAAGCAGCACAGAGTCCAGCTGAAACTGCCCACGCGTAGCCCTTCTTCTTGCTAGCCTCGATCGAACCACCAAAGCTTTCAATTTTTCGGAGGAAGAAAATTGGGTCGAGAAGATTTAAATGTGTATGGAACGATGTCGTTTCTATTTCCATACAACTCGGCCGAGTTTTGCCTACTCACGACTCGTTCACAATTACTCTCACAACAGAAACACAACTCGGCTCTTCCCAAAAATAATAATTATACTGCAAAAAATAATTATAAAGAAACACAACCCGTCCACCTGGCAATCCACCAGTCAGCAAATTAGTCAATCAGAGACAAAGGCACGAGGATTAAGATTTCCTAGAGGAAAGGGATCCACTCCCTCTGTGGATCATTCTATCAAATCCGTCCGATTTTTAAATCAAATTTTTGAAATTTAATCTAACGATTAAAATTATTATAATTTTTAAAATAATTTCTCATTTGTAACTGTTTGATCAAATTTCAATTATCTAAATTTTAAGATGGGATGGAATCCGGAGAGAGGAGCCCTTTCCATTCCTAAAAGTTAATATTCCCCTCCGAATCCTAGTTGTCGTCGAAAACTTGCAACCCACGTATCAACCGCCACTCCCACTATGAATAACCGCTCTTTCATTCCCTCCATGCATCTCATTCCCAACTTCTCAATTACCTGACAAAGTGTGAAGATCAAAACCCTAGTTCCTCCCCTTTCGAAAGGTTCGAGTTTGAAATAGTTTCTTCATGTTCGTAATCTCTGGGTTCTGATCGGTTCTTCGTCTCTCTTATTTCAGATTTTTTTGCGTTTTTTGTGATTTATTTGTGAAGAAATGGCTCGTACGAAGCAAACAGCTCGCAAGTCCACCGTTGGTAAGGCTCCAAGGGAGCAACTCGCCACCAAGGTGCGTTTCATTAGGGTTTCTAATGTCTAGAAAATTTAAATTGATAGTTGCGAATGATTTGTCCCGAGAAACAATCAGTTAATAGGATCTAAGTTGCTAATTGTTTTAATTTTGTATAGGCTGCAATCAAATCATCACCCAGAACCGGAGGAATCAAGAAGCCTCACCGCTACCGCCCTGGAACCGTTGCTCTTCGGTATGTTTTCAACTCAATTCTGTTCAAATCCTATAAATCTGTTCTTGAAGTTTATTGTATGTATCGTGTTCTTTGAATTTCATTATCTGAACTCTGGTCTTGAATTTTGGTACGTGCGTTCTTGAATTTGGTCACCTAAATCGTGCCCTAATTCAATATTTATGATACTTTGCAGTGAAATTCGAAAGTACCAGAAGAGCACTGAGCTTTTGATCCGCAAGCTGCCATTCCAACGCCTTGTTCGTGAACTTGCGCAGGACTGCAAGACAGACCTCAGGTTCCAGAGCCATGCAATTCTCGCTCTCCAGGAAGCTACAGAAGCCTATTTGGTTGGTCTGTTTGAGGACACCAACCTTTGCGCCATTCATGCCAGAGAGTTACCATAATGCCGAAGGACATTCAGCTCGCTAGGCGGATTCGCGGCGAACGTGCTTAAACATATTCGTATTATTTTCCTAGACAATTTGGTACTTTTGTAAGAATCCTATGCGGATTCAACTCTTTAAAGATAAAAAAATAATATGTTGGTAATACAAATTAATAAGAGTTTGGGTACGTGGAAAGGTCTACATCCTATAATTGAAGGGTATACTTTCATCCTGCATTAGAAGGGAAGCACTAATCACAACCACCTCTACACGATCAGGGATTTGAAGCAACGGGAAAATAACCAACCCTCCACAATAGATGAAAGTTGGCTGCCATAATCCATTGCTTCTATAAGTGCAAAAGTTACCTGCTCATAGAAAATACGTGCAGCATTCTTGACCCTATCACCATCTGAACATAAGGTCTCTTAGTGGGTAAAAGAAACTAGTTAACATACATGGCTTCCTTAGGTTTGAGACCAACGATGTATATGTAAATATATATGTATTGAGAATTGTCATTAGAGTTTCTGTTAATTTACATGAACTCCATCAACTTTATGCAATAAAATTGGATTTTTTTTTGGTTTTAAGCACCGATATGTGAACCTTTTGGTAATTAATTTTCGAATATAACAGTGATTGATTACATTTTAGTCGGAAATTTTAATTTTTTCACACATTTTGGTTAGAAATACATGATTCTTCTAATACTCGTATAGAGAATTCCCAAACCTTTCACTGACACAATTTTTTAAACTTAGGCTATGATTGCTATGTAATTTTTCAACGATTTGTACCCAAATTCCCTGATCACTTGGATTTTGCTGATGCACCACAAATAAAAGACAATAACCAGAAGGTGCAAGATAACTTGAACTCTGTATCGTCACTTGAACTTGAAACATCGAGTTCCCAATGTGTGTAACATTCTCGGAGCTGAGTACTAACAACCTTAGATTCATCGAGAATGAATATATACAGAATGGCGGCGCCACCATCGTAACCGACACCAAATATTTTGCGAGTGTTCTGGTCACAGAAATTGAGTAGCTAATTTTTGTGTATGCTAATGCGTAGCGTGAGAACGGGGAATGATGATTTTGGAACGTTTATTTGTGTATTGGTCCTCCAAACAAGTAGGGTGAACTGCCTCCAACAAGAGGAATGGTGGTTGGATTTGTATGCGAAACCGTGTCCCAGGTGCACCATCGGGGCTGTAAACCACGGGGTTCAAAACCGGGTTGACCCACATTCCCATCTGCGGTCCCTGCAGCTCCACCATTGATGATCAAAACACCCCCATTTGGAAGCAACACCGTGTCACCCATAATCCTAGCTTGAGGCATAGTCTCCACGTTCAACTGCGGATCCGAGTCGGTTATTTTGATCCGTCCGTACGTCCTCAAAGCTTCCGGAAATGTCCCATTTTTCGCCTTCACATAGACCCTTTCGGAGCTCCACCGCAGACCAAAACCTGAGCCTCAACTTTCTCTGCCTGCAAGTTCTTCAATGGTAGCAACAACGCCGAATTGGTAGAGGTGAATTTCTCTCATGTAATCAATATTTAATTTTATTCGCATCACCGGAAGCAATAATAAAAAAGTAAAAATAAAAACATTGTTCAATAAAGACTCGTCACGTATCAAAGATGCACTAATGTTTAATAAGTTACGCCGTAATAAAATATTGTGACATAATAAAATCTTTAATTTAGGGAGTTCAGACTTCATCATTTGGTGTTTCTGAAAAGATTTTTCAGTATGACCGGTATACGGAATGGTACATCATGTATCATTATATAAATTGTGGGATATGTGTGTTAAAAAGTTAATAATTTAAAAAATAAAATTTTCCACTACTTTTATTAAAACATGTGTCACTTGTGTTCCCGTCGTAATGTAAAAAATTTCGTACTTCTGACAAAAACATGGATATTTTCTATATTCTAACCCTATTATGCCTAATCAAACAACTCTAGCAAAATATCTAGAAGAATTCAGGCGTCACAAACTAATATCTCAACCAAAAAACTTTGTTCTCATTTTAAAGCTCCAAAGTCCATCGGCCTAATGGAGCTGGTGAAAGCCCACATACCAAGCCCATTTCGCGGGAAGGACCAAATTCTCAACCCAGAGTTAGGAGGGCCGAATGCCAAATCATGAATTAACTATAAATATTACGTTCCACTTGTATTTTTTATTTTTGGTGAATAGAGGGGTAAAGACACCTCAGACAAACTAATACTTAGCATTAATAATAATAGAGCGGTCCATAGGGACACCAACAAGATCATCCATTAGATGTTGCATAAGCCATTGGGGAGGAGACTAAAAAGAATACAACCTAAGGTCCAAATTGTAACTCCATTTGCTAGCTAATCTGCAACATTGTTCACTTCCTTGAAAATATGCTTTAGCTCAACTCTTCAAAAGGGTAGCAAGGGGGTGGAAAGTATCTTGCACGGACTGATTCAACAATAAAACAGCAGAGGAAGAGTCCATCTCAATGATTAACTTAGATATGTCTTTTTCAATAGCAAGCTGGAGTTCAAAATACAATCCCTAACTTCAACTTCAATAATCTGCCCTTGACCTAGATTAATAGAGAAACCTCACAAGCAATCACCATTGTGGTCACGAAGAATTCCTCCAACACCGATGTTGCTCGAAACCATTTTCTAGATCAGTCCACATTCCATTTATGCCAACCAAGAACAGGAGGCTCCCACTTTAACATAACATGCATTCGAGGAGGTGGTTTATCAATTTTTAGAAGTGAATCCATCCATTTAGAGGCAACTCTAACAATAACCCTTTTAGGATCACTAGGGAGGGAAAAATCCACTTCAAAAATCTGGTGGTTCCTCCATTTCCAAATATACCAGCAAGCAAAGACATACAAACAATTCCATGCTATCTTGTTAGACCACATTACCTTGGACGTCACGTTAGCCATCAACCAGGCTTCCAAGTCCAAATTAAAAGTATTGCATAATTGAGAAGGAATCCGTAGAATATCCCAAATGCATTCAACTCTGCTACATTCCCTTTGAATATGTGTGATGGTCTCCAAAGGCCAAGAACAAAGGTTGCAAGAGGAGTCCACAGTTAAATTCCTTTTGGTTCTTTGCTTATTAGTAAGTAACTTACCTTGACCAATGAGCCAGAGAAAGAATTTAAGTTTTTTTTTTGGGGCGGGGGGGGGGGGGGAAGGATTTTGAGAGTCCAAATCCTAAACCAATAAAAAACAGGCCCTAATGATTGGAGAAAGAAATTATTGGATGAGTTGCACACTTTCAGTTCCTGTTGTTGGTCATTTTGGGTGTTTGAGGACTTACAAGAGGATACCCAGAAGCCCGGAATTAATAAATTTGTGATGAAAGCAGCAAGGAGTGATTTCCAACTTGATGTGTCCATCGATAATAGAATCTTTCTCTCCGTAGTTGAGGACAAAAAGACAGGGTTTCATGCAAGTTGCACGATTGAAATGAACATCTAGGAAGGAAAAAGTAATGTACGCCAAAAATCCCGAGGGGGCCGCCGCAGGGGGGTGGGGGGAGGTGGTCGGGGGGGGGGATTTTGAGAGTTCAAATCCTAAACCAATAAAAAACAGGCCTTCACTCACAATCATGTAACACATTATAGGCAGTATTTACGATGAAAGTTCCATTTGAAGTGCATCCCCATATAAGTTTGTCCTCTCCAGCACCAATAGTCCCAGCAGGCCAACTGATAAATTTTTGGACCAAGTTTTTGGGAATAGCAGATCTTAGCTTACTAACATCCCACCAACCATCCTGAAAGAAAGAAGAGATTGAAAATCCTCCTCAGAAAGTTATTAGCATCAATATAATTAATTAAAAGAGCATTCAACACCCAAGGATCTTTTCAAAACTTGACACCATCACTTTTTCTTCACTTATAACTATGAGGTATTTAGTTCAACTCTCGTAGGTTATAACTTATGCATTGTGACTTAACTCAGAAAGCAGCCAACCATAAATAAATAAGAACGGGTGAAAATCCTCTGAATTTGTCCCGTGGGATTTGAGATTTGGTGAGGTGTCAGTTATTTGGTTGGTGAAGGGGAAAGGTGGTTTTTAGCCCTTATGAACACAAAGCCGTGACCTGCGTATGAATCTTGCGAGGCCTCTCACCGTAACCCGTGACCTACTAAGTACTAACTGCCATTTGCCAAAAAACTATCATTCTACTCTGCATCTAGCACAGCTAGACTCTTATTCCCGAGACAAAAACCATATCACTTTTTGTTTTAGAAATTAACAATCATCATGTTCCATTCGGCTGCACCATTTTTTTAATTACCAATCTATCCATACACATCCATGGTCTGCCATTGACGGTAGTCACTCTCATCGTCTCTTTTACCTCTCTCCATTATCTATATAGCAAAATATTATTTAAGCTCTTGGAAAAGACACGCATCGCATAATTGACATAATAGCTGACTACTGGCATACATGAGCATCCTGCTGGAATTTATTCCATCCTTTCTGATGTTTGATTCTGCAACATGTGAACTGTGGGGTTAATCATTTTCGATCTCCCAACATGGTTCGCCGTCGATCTCCCAACATGCACACCAAGACAACCTCCGCAGTTTGGCTAAATTGACGCGCAAAGCCAGTTGCCTCATGTTTTGTTGTCGTACGTATGACTTTTTAAATTGACGCGGCAAAGCCAGTTGCCTCATGTTTTGTTGGGCGTTTTTGTTGATTGCGAAATGATAATTATACAATTTTTTGTTTTTTTTATAATCCTCTTACATACTGTTCTTTAATTATTTCTGATCGATCATTAAATTTAGTAGATTAAACAAACAAATGACAAGTTAAATAGAATTGTGCAGGGAAGAAAAATTGTGTTTTTATCATTTTATTTGCTTGATGGTGCGCAGTGGGAGGTTTCAAATATGAAGATGAAGAGTTGGTTTAATTTCCATGTGAACAGAAGAACCCTACTTGAAGGGATAATACATAGTTTTGGAGCCTTGCTTATGTGTGGGGATAATGCTTATCTTGTAGAATACAAAGTCATTCATGTACTTAGGAAATAATATGTACATAAAGTTAAAATACAGTCGTAGTTGAGACTCATATCTCAGCTGGGTACAAGCTGCTCCTTTGTTTGATTCTATATCGTTTCTATGAAGAAAAAGAAGTCGAAATGCAACTTTTCTATATTTGTATTTGACATTTTGGTGAAGCTAGCTGACAGGGAAAACGACTCAAAGGTTCCAGTTATTTGATGAAACCTCTGTAGCTTTTTATCTGCAGTGAAAATGATATAAAATGGTATGGGCGAATCGTATTGTATCCAAAAAATAAAATAAAGAAACATAGACAAAATATCTTTGTCCCAGCAGGTATATCGTACATAATATATGCGTTCTTTTCGATCAGAAACAGGTATGTATTCTTCATCCCAGAAGTTTCCTAGATGGGACGCTACTTGCTTTTAATCATGGTTTTCTATTTATCAGTATCTGTCGATGTAAAACGCCGACAAACAACTGGACGATCTAATCAATATAATGCTGTGAATTTTGTTGAGATTATAAACTATATATGTAAAATTCTGTTTATTACTATGATTCCAATTACAAAATGAAATGTAAAGCGATGTTAAATCAAACATTTACAAATAAGGAATTAGTAGTTTATGTGTTTAAGAGTATTTATTTATGTGCTAATATTAATATCCATATGTTCTTGTTACATATTCACCACTATGTCCCAATATAACGTTGGTTAATTACCAATGCCTCATGTATTTTAATCAATTTGAATCTAATTAAATAATATATATGATGTTGATGATTCACCTAATCATTGACTTTAAGCGGTACTGGGCAAAATTTGATAGAGACATATTTTAATTCTTGTAACTCCAATCATGATAATTTCTGGAAAAAAAAAAAATGTAAATACACTATTTGTAAGTAAATATTCGTACGTATCTCTATACACTATCATATATTTTCTCACAGAATTTGGACCCAGATGCCCTCACTCGGTATACTCTGGTGAACCACATACAAAAGATAATATCCAGAAGGCGCAAGATGTCCCGACCCCGGTGTCGTCACTAAAGCTTGGTAGGTCGATAGTGCCACATTTGTCACGCTCTCAGCTGCGAGAACAAGCACCCTCTGATTCATGGAGAATGAATGCGTCGTAAATGATGGCGCCACCATCGTTACCGACACCAAATTTGTAGCTACAGTCCCCGTCACCGAAAATCGAACGGCCAACTTTTGTGCATAAGTGATCGTACCTTGTGATTTCGGTGCAACAATTTTGGGACGCAAGTTTGCGTACTTAGCGTCCAAATAATCAGGATTAAATGCCTCTAATCTCAATTCAGTCGGAAAAAGCACGTTCTTAAACTCGTAATAAATATGTGGATTACTGCCCCCAACGAGCACTCTACCGTCACGCAACAATATTGCGGTTGAATGGTACATCCGCGGTATTGTTGTCGGGTTTTGCTGCACGAACCGTGACCCCACTGCATTGTTAGGCTGGTACAGAGCGGGGTTTAAAACCGGGTTCCGTCCAAATTCCCATCCCGCAGTTCCAAGCTCTGCGCCATTGATAATTAAAACGGTGCCGTCGGGAAGCAATGTCATGTCTCCCATGACTCTAGCTTGAGGCATAGTCTCCACAACCCACTGCGGGTTCGGGTCGGTTATTTTGATCCGCCCGCATGTTTTTAAAGCTTCCACAAAAGTGCCTTTAACAGCCTTCTCATAAGACCCTTTCGGAGCTCCGCCGCAAATCAAAACCTCCGCCTCAACTAACTGAGCTTGTAAGTTTTTTAACGGCAGCAACACAGCAGACCCTGTGCTCGGGTACGACCTTGGATCGCCGCCGGGGATTTTCGGGTAGGTTTTAACGATGATGTTCTTCACGTAATTGAACAGAATAGCTCGATTATTGGCGAAGATAAATAAATTCCCATCGACGTTGAGGAAAACAAATGGGTAAAGATTATTTTCGATTTTAGCGTCATTAGTCTGCACGAGGAATGGCAGACTGTAGACATTGCTCGAAGACGCACTTTTCGGATAAAACTCATAGTTGAACTGTCGCCTGCCGCCGATGATTATCTGCCGCCCATCTGGCAGAATATGGTTGGTGGCGTACCAGCGGCGGGCGGCCAAGCCGTTGTCGTACTCCTTCCAGTCACAACCAGTGCATGGCTGGTAAATCCTCACCTTGCGCTCCCCGTCGTTGAAGCCACCGGTTTGGATCAAGCGCCCGTCTGGGGAAATGGAGCCGGAGGAGCACCAGACATCGGTTTGGACCATGAGGGGGCGGAAGGAGTTGGTGGGGACGTCGTACTCAACGGAGTGGGCAGTGCAGTCAATTTTGAGAGCGGTGTCGTTGGGATCCTCGCGGCATTTACCGTCGGGCAAGGACAAGTTGGACATGCCAAAGTCGGTGCGGTCGTAGATGACAACGCGGTCGTTGTAGAGGAGCTGCATGTGCATGGCGGTAATGCCGATGTTTTGCTGCAAGAGTACCCATTTGCCGGTGGCGGCGTGGGTAGACTTAGAAATTATGAGGAGAAAGTTGAGTAAGAAGAAGAGGAAAGAAAGAGAGAGGGTTACTTTTGGGTTCATTCTTTCTTTTGTCGTGTGTTTTGGTCTGTTGGTGTGAAATGTAAAAGTGTGGGTGGGATTTGTAATGTCGAATGCTTTGGGGTGGGCATCTTTAAATAGTTGTGGGGTGGGTGTCTTTAAATAGCTGTGGTGGTTTCGACCAAAAAAAATTAAATGTATAGTTGTGGTGGAGTGAAAAGATAAAGCGTGGGGATAGATAGAAACCACTGCATGTAAACGTGTGGGGACAGACAGAGGAGTCCCGTCAGCAACAATGACTGTTGTCGCTAGATTGATGAAGAGAGCAAATACTCAATTTTAATCTCATATTTTACAGTAAAAATGCTAAAAGCTACTTGAAACTTGAAGTGAGAAAGAAATATGTGATTGAAAGAGAGATGAAGAAGTAAATAAAACTAATGAAAATAATTTAAAAGTGAAAACACCTTAAACATATGTTTTTCGGGTTTTAGCTTTTAGTTTTTATTTCGTGATTTTCTTGAACATCTTGTTCTACATCTCATTCTTGCTCCCCACTTTCTCTTAAAAAAAGTTGATTAATTAACTAATAATATGTGCATATTATCAATATATCTGTAAATTTGTTTAGAAGCTCGCAATGATTTTTGGTACCAGAACTTGGTCAAAGATTTTTATGTACAAGATGTCGTGTTATATATCCTAAGAAATCATACTCATCTGGGTCCTGTGTGCTCAATTGAATGGCCCTGAAGCTTGGCCAGCCAACCTCAAACTGAAGGCTCCAATACAAAACGTGCAAGAAATAGACTATTTTAAAAAGCCACATTGTCCTTTTTATCTAGTTTTTTAACCTTTTTTTTGTCTGCCTTGAATCGTCTTCTGCTAATTTAGTTTGTGGTCGAAATTTTCACTCCAAATATTTCTGTAATTAGTGGCGTTAGAGCGATAGCTTTCTTAATTTGTTATGATCTTGAAAAAGAGACGCATCTCTTATTATGTAGGTAACGTAACAATTTCTAAAGTTTTCTAGTTTTTGTACTGTATAACTGAGGAATTTCTAATCTCTACATTTAGATTTTTTGCATTTCGTTACATCTCAATCATTTTAATAATTTGACGACTTAAGTATAATTAAATGCAGATTAATGCACGAAATATTATAGCTCAAATATTGAAAATATAGAAGATTCTACTGAGCACCACCGATTTTCTTAATTTATAAATGCATAATGTATTTTAATTAATCAGATAGAATAATATGATATCATCGATTTGCTTAACCATTAAACTTAAGACGTGTTGGAGCCACTTAATACTATGATCTAGTGATTTTTCTTTTCACTTATAAGTGAGATGTATTAGGTTCAATTCTCGTCATAGGCAAATTCGAACCACATTATTGCTAGCCATTGTGAGAGTTAGTTCACCCCATCTCTTTTTTTGTAGATAATATCGTTTGTTAAAACAAAAAAATCGTAGCTTGCCAACAGTTGTCCCTATTTTTAAAAGAAAAAAAAAAAGAAGAAGCATTATTAATAGTCTTGGGCACAAAACTTGCAAAATAAACTCTTTGCAACGTACATAAGAATCATAAGATAACGCACTGGCGCCAAAAAAAAGTTCGACGGAAATTATATGCAACTTTATTCATCAGATTAATTACAACTTGTAATCTTTGGTAAAAAGATCAAAATCAAATAGAACAATACAACTTGCAAATTGCTATGACTCTAATTCTTTAAATGACACACATATCAAACGGTTGGCTTTTGTAGTTTGATCTTTGTCTATGAACATTTTAATGTTTTCAGCTCACAATTAATCATTTTTTTATTAAAATAAAAAGGAAGAGGAAATATTAAACATTGTATACATAAGATATTATATATATAACTTCATTTTATCACTGAATTTGGACCCAGATGGCAGCACTTGGAATTTGTTGATGAACCACATACAGAAGATAATATCCTGAAGGTGCAAGATTACGGGAAGCCGGCGTAGTCACCTGAACTTCGTAGGTCGTTGTCCCTCCCTTTATAATGTTCTCCGCCCCAAGAACTAGCAGCCTCTGATTCATTGAGAACGAATGTGTATTAAATGACGGTGCCACCATCGACACTGACACTGATTTTGATACTAGGTTTCCCTTCACCGAAAACTGAATGGATAGTTTCTTTCCGTAATTGATCTTAGCTTGTGAATTGGGTGCAACGATTGTCGGACGCAAGTTATTGTACGTAGCGTCCAAATAATCTGGACTAAAGGCCTCTAATCGCAATTCCGTAGGGAAAAGCACGTTGGTGAACTCGTATTTATCATGAGGGTTACTACCTCCAATTAGTACCCTACCATCGCGTAACAATATTGCAGTGGAATGGTACATCCGCGGTATGGTGGTAGGATTTTGTTGTTCAAACCGTGATCCAATTGCGTTGTCAGGTCGGTACACAATTGGGTTGAGAACCGGGTTCCGCCCATTTTCCCAACCTGCAGTTCCTGATGATGCACCGTTGATGAGTAGAACAGTACCATCTGGAAGCAATAACATGTCACCCATGACTCTAGCTTGAGGCATAGTCTCCACAACCCACTGCGCGTTCGGGTTGTTTATTTCGATGCGAGCACATGTCTTTAGAGCTTCCACAAAAGTACCCTGATTTACCTTGGCAAAAGACCCTTTTGGAGCTCCACCGCAAACCAAAACCTCAGCCTCAACAGACGGAGCCTTCAAGTTTTTTAACGGCAGCAACACGGCTGAACCGGTGCTAGGGTAACACCTTGGGTCGCCGCCCGGTATTTGCGGATACGTTTGGACCACCTGTTTCTTTGCATAATTGAACAGAATAGCTCGATTATTCGCGAAGATAAATAAATTCCCATCCATATTGAGGAAAACAAAAGGGTAAAGATTGTTTTCCTCGCCGGCGTCATTGGTCTGCGTAAGGAACGGCAAGCTGTAGAGATTGCTCGAAGACTTGGTCTTTGGATAAAATTCGTAGTTGAATTGGCCCCTGCCGCCGATGATGATCTGTCGTCCATTGGGCAAAATATGATCGGTAGCGTACCAACGGCGGGCGTTTAAGGCATTCTCAATCTCTTTCCAATCACAACCGGTGCAGGGCTCGAAAATCCTAACGCGGCGTTCTCCAGCGCCATTTCCCCCAGTTTGGATTAAGCGGCCATCGGGAGCTACAGCCCCTGAAGAGCACCAAACATCGGATAAAACCGTGAGAGGGCGGACAGTGTTAGTTTTGACATCATACTCAGCGGAATGTGCGGTGCAGTCGTTATTAACGCATGCTCCGTTGGGTAAGGACAGGTTTGAGGGGCCGAAGTCGGTACGGTCGAACATGATGACGCGGTCGTTGTGGAGGAGCTGCATGTGCATGGCGGAAATGCCAACGCTTTGTTGCAAGAGCTGCCATTTGCCACCAGCAGCGTGGGTCAGAGAAACATGAAATAAGAGGAGAATTAACGAAAGAATGAAACTAGTTGACCTCATTTTTTTTCTGTTTTTGAATCTCTTAATTATGCTTTAGCTTTGTGGGTCTGTCTCAACTCTCAAACTGAAGCTCTTTAAATACTAGGATTTGAGCTAGCTAACCACAAGTATATTATAAACGCGTAGGACTGACAAGATGCCCGGTCAGTGAGAGGGACTGTTGTAGTTGAAGAATAATTCGATATGATTAACCTGATTTTCAGAGTACGTAGGATATGCTGGCTAAGCATATGCTAGGGTTTAGGTGCGTGCTTTGAATCCTTCTTTGCTGTTCTTTTATTTTTATTACTTGTTTAGTCTTTCGTTGGTTGATGGAATTTATTTCGTCTTTTTTATTATACATATGTTAGGTAAATGTGGAAATAGTCATTTTTAATGCTTATTTTGGTGGTCGTAATATTCTTGTTTTAGAGACAGAATACTGAACCTATGGTTACTTGTTTTGGACAAAAAACGAAATTTTAATTTATTCATGGAGTGAAAACTAGTTTTCCCATTATAATTTTAACCTTTTAAATTTTTAACTTTTCAGTTCGACCTTTGCATGAAAAAAATTTGGGTTGGAGAGTGATACATCGATCGTATATATATCTGGCGGCTGCAGTCAGTTAACAAAAAAGAACAAGAATCGTATATCTGATTGAAGATGTTAAGTTTTAATTTGCTTCTAAGTTGCATGAGGTTGAAAGTTGTTCATGTTAATTTCACATTGTTGCAATGAGAGGTATGATTCTCATCGTTTAGCTAATTTGCAATATTTATTGATTATTCTGTAGTTTCAAGCGAGAATTCTCCTAATATCATGCAGGATGATTCAGTGTGTACTTCCTCTTACAACTTCAATGAAGTCTTCATTAATTTTCTTACAAATAAAAATAAATAATATAATTATTTTTTTCATTTTGGGGCAAGCATATCAATGTGTACCGCAGAATAAGTGCAGTGCGCGGTGGGAGTTAAATGATAGCTGCTTTTGTTAGGTTATTCTTCCCAATTATATCAATATCTGAACATGGAAAGGGATCCTCTCTCCGGATCCCTTCCATCAAGTCCTCCTCATCAACTAACATGGATCCTTGAAATTTGATCTAACGGTTACAAACAGGGACTCACTTTAAAAGTTATAGTAATATTAGCTGTTGAATCAAAATTCAAGGGCCCGAGAATTGATAGGGATGACTTGATGGAAGGGATTCGAAGAAGATCCCTTTCTCCTGAATAATACTAGTACATTCTCATCATGAAATTTGACCATAATTTAGGTGCGCCCTTGATCATGCATGGTTTTAACTACATAAATAATATTCAACGAAAATAAATAAATCAATACCTGAACATCCATAAGCAAAGCTTGAATACATACGCGTGCAAAGAAAGAGGCTTTTGGCATAAACAGCCATACTCAAACCTATGGTCTTCGAAGCACTACTTTTCTCGCTGAGCACTTCGTATCCGTCCTTGATTCTTCTAATGTTTAGCCGGGGAGTACTAACTCTCTTGGAATCAATGATACTAAACGGAAAGTATTTATTAGATGGGTACTGTACTTTTTGAGCATGTAAAATGCTTTTTAAACATATAATTTCCACTAGTATTGTGTCTTGATTGTGGGAGAGTGTCTAATTTAGTCGGCCAATGTGGAACCGTAATTTTCGAGCCATTGGACCTTGAAGGAATTAGCAGAGCTCTGGAAAGGATAGCTTAGTTCCAATTCTGGACTTCTGCCTCAGAAGATCAGATCATTATGGTTCTAATAACTTACATGGTCCGATCAGATCATCTAAAGACTAAAAGTATTGCCAGAACAAGTCAATCCGATAAGCTCCCTCCTTATCGAAAATGACCTACTTAGCCTTGAAGAAACCTGTATCAACTGATTATATTCTGATTAGGAGAGAATCTTGAAAATTCATATTATTATGGGAATAGGTGTACACCCCGAGTAATCATTAACCTAATAGGAAAGGATCTCTAAATTTCCTATATATTGGGATGCATGCTTTGCTTGTTCAACAACACTGCATTTGCTTGTATTCAGATCCTAACCAGCGCCACCTTGATATGAATCAGTGTGCAACACTGCATTCATATACCAACATTTGTGTGCGAGTTTAATTCCAACAATCAGTATTTTATCTCAAAAATTTTAATCGATTTTAGGGTTTTGTTATTGTCAATTTAGTAATTAACTTTTTATTTGTCGGCATTGATGGATTTACTTTCACTTGTTTTGCTCTTCGTTCTTTTGTTTGTTTTGTCCAATTGATGCGATGATTATATTTAGTACTTGTTGTCCTAACTTATAGATGGATCAATCTCTTCCTATGCATGTTGTATTAATTAAACAAGAAAATGAATGAAAAAAAAAACAAACAAACAGTGACGCAATGCATGGCATATTATTGCTGCCGACAATGCCGATCGAGGTCATTGTGTAAAGCTTGGGGCCGCCAGCGGCTAGTTCCTTAAAGCCAAGTCCGACCCCTATGGCCTGTACTCTAATTTTATTTTATTTTGAGGTTATGCAGCTATAATTTTGAGTTTAATAATATACAAATCAAGATCAACAACTATAGATTAATTGACTTGATCAATCGCGTGCCTCGAATTTATGGAACTTCAGAAAATATATCATCACCAAAAAAATTATATTTTTTTCTTCTTCACTATTGAAATCAGGTACATACAAATGATTTTTGTTCTGATTTGTATCCATAACTATTCTTGCTAGCTATAAACTTTTTCAAGTTTCATAAAATAATACTACTCTATTATTATATTCAACATCATTTCCAACCAGCCATTCACATTCTCAAAATATTTATAGAAGAAAAAAAAACATATCAGCATATTGATTTGCTGATTTAAGACCTCATCATAAATCCGTGTGTTTGTTGGTTTGTAACTTTTTTTAGATTATACTACTTTAATATTACAATTAGATATGATGTTTGTTTGCTTTTTTTATTTTTACGAACAATAGCGTTAGTTTATTAAATTGTTAAATATTAGACAAAAGAGGGATTAAAGGGGATTGACCCGCGCATTAGAGTGAATAGACATTATTATTTTTTGTTACTACGGTAAACCAGCATCTACGATTATATTATAACTTTGACAAGTATGATGACAAACTTACAGTAAGAATTCAAAAGGTAAGTCCTATAAGTAACTAGTTTTCTGACCCCTTGCTATTAAACCACGATGAAACAAATGACCTTAAAAACTTAAATTCGATTCATAGTTGGCGGACCCTTTCCTGATTATTTATGTTTACCCATTTTAGCATCAAACCTGAAAAATTCGAAATATGATTTAATTCTTTATGGTGGACATGTACTTATGTTATCCAAGGCTAAGCTACAAAGGGTTGTCCCGAATCAGTTCCTTTTATTTGATTCTCTTTCCGTGCTGACAGGATAACTGTAAAGAAAATATATATTCTACAAAAATTGTTAGGTCTCTTTAAACAAAGCAACATCGCTAAACGAAAACGTATTAACTCGACTTAAGAAAACGAGCAAAAGTCAAATAAAATTTCTTTGATACGGTTGGTCAAACACATACATTCTTCCAATAAATTTATAATTTTATTTGTGATCTTGTTCTTACAATAAATGGAAATCAACCTGACCAGTTTTAACGTTAACATTTCAACAGATAGGATGCACGGGTCAAAGGAAAGGTTTGAGTTCAAAGACGAAGTTAGCTTTGAAGGTACAAACTTTTAGAAGGTTCCTTACTTTTTATTCTCTAATCTCGTATGGCAGCTTTCAGATCTTTATCTTCAGTTTCAGGACATGCTGACATGCTTCTATGGCTCTTCGAAGTGAAGCCCTTATCTCGTATGATTCAATACATTTATCTCGTATGATTCAATACATTTGATTTTATAATAGAAATGAGATACCATCCGTATTCGCATTATATAAATATATATATATATATATATATATATATATACACACACAGGTTCTTTATGCAAAGGGATTCCTTTTTTTTTTTTTTTTTCAAAAAATAGATATTAGGTATGGGACTCACTCCAAATCGAACTTCAATAATCTGAACCGTTTATTTTGTAAGTCTCGAAACTATTTACATAATTAATTATCAAAATAAATTTTCACTGTTTCTTATATAATAAAGTATTTTTTAATTTCTTTGAACCTAATTAGATGTTTTAAATAACTTCAATTTGATTAATATTTTGTAAGAATGATCTATAAGATGTAACTTAAAAATAAACGGTTCGAATTGTTAAAGTTCGATATAATGTAGACCCCACAACTAATCCTCATTTTTATAAAAAATTAGAAATCCCTTCTCTTAAAGATTTCCTATATATATATATATATATATATATATATTGTTCAAACGGACTTTTTTTGTTTGTTGTTGATATGAACATTCTGTGTGTGAAAGTCGTTAAGTCTGATGTAAGACAATGCACAATATAGAAATTGAAGCTCTTAATCCAAGAACCAGAATAATGATTAGCCGTCATGAGTGCTTCTAGTTAACTACCAAACTGTACGAGTCAAACCTTGGACTCATGAACTTATAAGCACCAGAGGGCGTAAACCATCTTTCTTACCACCGGAACACAAAAACCATTGACAAAAATATACTGCAAGAAATATTATTTGATGACGACTCAGAAAAGTAAACGCTTTTAAAATTTCTAAGTTTATCTAGTTTCAATTTTGAGATAGGATTTTTGTCGGATCTTTTTTATGAGGATTTCAGAGATTCTTTAATCTTGTTCTTTTATTATACATCGTAAAATTAAAAATTATTTTAAATTATATTATTTAAAATTAAACATAAACAGTATTTGATAAAAACTGATCGCATGATGTACAATAAACAGACATGATTAAAAGATCCTTAAAATCCTCGCAAAAAGGATCCTATCTCAATATTGAGGTACTGATTACCAAAGCTGTGTGAGGGCCAAAAAAAAAGCGTGAACAACACTACTTAAATTCAATACGGTTTCT